TTTTGTGGTCCCTGGTTTAGTCTTGCTATGACTTAAGGTAGTAAGACTTGAAGTTCAATTTTCCCCCCTCTTTTATTCAGTCCTTCCTTTGCAGAGTTTTGAATCTGCTTGGAACCCATATTACTTTGTCAGTTATAACCCAGTGTTGTCAAGTTGATTCCAACTCCTCTCCACCTTACAGAACAGCATAGAACTGTCCCATAGTGTTTCCAAGGTTGTAAATCTTTCTGGAAGGGAACTGCCACATCTTTCTGAGCTGGTGCATTTGAATTGCTGTCCTATTGGTCAGCATGCAACCATTTAACCTCTGTGCCACCAAGACCCCTTTATTAGTGATATGATTGTGAAAAAGGCATGTTCAGTTGCATCATGCCAAAGGACTGTTGCATCCATAAACGTAACACTTGGAAAAACATATTTTACACTAAATGAATTCCTCTTTTGAGGTAAAGATTTGAGAGTCTTTCTTACTTCTTGAAAGAAAAAAAGAAAAAACACCACCTCTTTACCTTTGATCTTGCAGTGCCTTTGTAGATAAAGCCACAGATCCTACCACAAGACGGTGGCTGTCGTGCCTGGTGTGAACCAGATGGGCTGGCAGAGGTGCTGCTGACCCACCAAGCCTCTGGCTGTGCCTGGGTGCGACCTGGCTGTGCACATGGGCTTTTAGACCTGCGCTCCCTTCCTTCCTCTGCCCCCGGCCCGCTGGTGGGTACCGGGCTGGGCTCCATCCTGTCTGCTCAGCACTTCTTAGCCAGGATGTCCCTTTGGTGATGAGCCACCTCCTGCTCTTGGGCCATTAACTATCCGAGTTAACCTGATGTATACCTTCGCACCATTCTGGCTCACCACTTAGCAGTTACCTCGCTGGCCCCTGCTGTTTATCTCCCTCTATAAACACATGGACCACTGCGGGTCTCCTGGATGGCGCGGCTGTTTTGTGCTTGACGACTCAGCTCAAGGTTGGCTCTTCAAACCCACCCAGCAGTGCTGGGAGGAAGAGGACTGGCGATCTGACTGGAAAGATCACAGCAAACCATAGAGAGCAGTTCTGCGTTAACCAAGGAGGCGCCCTGGCAGCCCGGACTGAGTGGCAGCGTTGGTTTGTCTTCACCTGGTCTGGGTGGTGATGCAGAGAGCATCGCTAGTGTTTGTGCACTGTGGATCTCAGGAATGATTCCCTACCTTTGCGTAACCTTCCAGTTAAAATAGGAGGCACCCTGGTGGCATAGGAGGCACCTGAACTTCCAGCCACAAGGCCGCCTGCTGCTCTGCGGGAGAACCATGGAGCCGTCTACTCCCGGTAGGGTTTGAAGTCCCAGAAACCAAGAGGGGCAGGTCTACCCTGTCTTAATGGTCACCGTGGGTTGGAACCACGTGGTGGCAGTGAGGTTGGTGTTTTGTTTTTTCAGTTTGAAGACCAGAAGTTTAGGTATCACCAACACTAGATCTGCAAACCATGACACTGTGTAGTGGGAGAAGGTGATTCCTAGAGAGGAGAAACTGTAGCTCACCCCGCGTGCCAGCTCCCGCTGCCCGTACAGTACAGTGGCCAGTAGCCGTGTGTCTGTCCACCGTGCTCACGAAATGGGATGCGTCGGATTGAGGATTGTTCCGA